TTCAAAAGCTCAGTGATATTGGTGACCTTCATGCTATTGTACAATTATTTCTCAAATTCATTTTGGCTCCAAAAGATGTTTGCCGTTTGGATACAGAATGAGAAACAGGGGCTGCTGTTCAAGAACAATTTCTTAGGCTACAGTCCAGTGCACACTGACTTGGGAGTAAGTTCCGCTGAACTTGGAGATACTGGCTTCTGAGTCAAAAAGCATAGGTTTGCCATGCTGTAAGATGCAATCTTAGGCTGGTCTGCACAAGCTGTTATCAAATAAACTTTTTTTTGGGGGGGGGGTGCTTTAAAGGTATGCCATGTACACAGCCTCATTTCTGAGCAAATGTGCATAAGAATTGGCTTAATGCGTCTTTAGATTGACAGAACCAGTTCCATGTTTATGTAGATCCAAGACATCACTAACCTACAGTACACACAGTTAGGGGTCACAGTTTAAAGTTGCATATAGAGCTCATGGACATAGAGGGCTTATTGTGGATATATGTATTTTCAGCCTTTCATCCCACATTTACTACAATTCCTGACCACAGTACAAAACAGGGTTTAGAGTGTGCAGTTCAGACATCTTAATATGGATTTAAAGATGTTGCTTTCTGATTTTAAAACTTATTAATTTTTAGCGAATATAGATTTCCCCCATTTCATTGGAGAGGATTGCACAATTTGAGTGATCCTAGTTGTCTTAAAACAAACAACAAACTATATATTGGAATATTTCCCTGAGTACCAGAGATGCTTGTGTTCCCCTCCTCCCTCCTCCCTCCTTCTTCTTGATCCATAGAAATAATATGAAACCAGAGCCTATGAATAAAACAGGAGATCGATTTAACACAAGGATTATTTTTGGCATTCAGTATGTGTGAAGAGCATATTAATAGTAGCCACCCTTTTTATGATTGAAAGATAGGAATAATGAACTGGCATGGAGCCTTTGTAATGCACAGCCAACACGCAGTCTCTTTGAAACCAATATATTGCAAGGGGAAGGAAATAAAATAACACCAACCACCAATAGCTAGAATTGAACAAGCCACAGTTTTAATATGGAAGATGCCACAGCATGTGTGGTAGACCCGATTAAACCATTATGTTGAGTCACTCAGGTAGACTGGCATGCATTGCTAGCTTCCCCAATGAACTCATCCTTACACTACTCATGGAAAATGACCCATTCTTTGTTCTGAAGTAGGTGTGAGGTGTGCAGAACATGCCTTGATGGGAGATGTCCCCGCTAACACCAGCACTGAATTGTAAGGTGACTTAGAGTGATTCAGGGGAAGCTCAGGTGTTCTTGAGTCAGAGTAACAAAGCATCTCAGCCAGGGATGTTGGAGAATTCTGAGGGAAATGGGAAGAAGCTAATGTTATCTTATTCATCTCATATTTGGGACAGAAGTCAATCCAATGAATATGGTTGCATGACACTTCAGAAATATTGCTTATCTATCATTTTAATGCAATCTAATATTTATCTCATTTGTTTCCCTCTTGACTCACTTATGAAACATCTCAAATTCGAAACCTGGAACTGAGTAACAAGCCTTTACATGAAAGATCTGACCCATGCTGACTCTTCTGCCTATGGAACTTAATCAGTAGGAGGAGAGCCGGCTCAGGTTTGCACCTTTCCCCTTTACAATACCCTAAGGTTGAATTTTTGTGAGCGGGCACTCAGGTATTACAACATGGTGATGGCAATGTTATTAGTGGGTAAATTACACAAAGTGATATCTCTGCAGTCCTTCCTTACATGGGAGGTCATAGCTGTCAACTTTTCCCTTTTCTTGCGAGGAATCCTTTTCGGAATATGGGAATTTCCCTTTAAAAAAAGGGAAACGTTGATAGCTATGATTGGAGGTAGATGTTAGGGAATCAATTCACGGCAAGGTATATTGCAAAAGAACTGTGTGTTTAGACATGGTGGTTAATCTCCGTGTCAGTGGGGAAAGTAAAGTCTCGAAATGTTTCTTAACTTTTATCTTAACTTTGTTTAGATTATAGTACTAAAAAAACCAACACCCCAATAAAATATGAATTTTCCTTTAATTTCTTTTACAGTGTTGATTGTAAGCAAAGTTGAAAGCAACACATGGAAGTGTGGATCGCCTCAGCACTCAGCTTCACCGAAAGAGGCTCAGAAGACAAAACAAGATTAGCTTAACTAGAATCATTTTAACGGGAGCTAATGGGAATAGAAAACAGCGATCCAGATTAGAAGAGACCTTAAATGTATATAAGGTCGATTTATTCAAGAGAAGCCAGACAGCACTACTGGGATGGGATGGTAATACTCACTAAGGGGTGGAAACATCAAAATATTTCATTTTCAAGAAGCACTTCAGTTATATACATACTCATATCTTTTTATATCAACAAAATTCAACTAGCCTTTTTCTTCTTCAAAGTTTAGTCTGTATGCTGTGTTTGTGCACACACAGTTGGGCACAATTTCCCATAAAACAGAAGTTCTGTGGTTTCAGTTTATAAATTTGTAAGATAAGAATAAATGAAAAACCACAGCTATTACAATGGAAGAGGAATTCACCTGGGGAAGGAGAGAGGGGGATAGTGAGCATTCATTCTTAAGCCATCTCTCCCTTTGCAAACTATGGTTTGTCAGGAACCACCACCACAGCAGTACCTTGGTTGCAGACTGCTAAACCCTACTTTCTTCACATCCTCCAGCTCTGCCAATTCATATATAATGTTTAAAATGCAGCAACGTTTCTGGTGGGGCCCCAATATTTCTCATCCTAATATATGGCTTCTTATGAACTACCTAAACAGCCCCAACCTGGTCCCTGCTTTCTTTTGACCCATCTTGAGCATTTGTTTGCATAATATAGTGGAGCAGCAGGGCAGAGTAATTATGGCAATCAGTCTCTAAGCACATTAATCTGCACTAAACTGCAGGGAGTAAATGATGCAGAAAGAAACCCAACAGCGAAACATTTCTTTTGTTTGTGGCAGATCCCATACTGCGTTTAAATCGCACAAGACCAACCTGTAATTTATTTCATGGTTGCATGAATATTAGCAATTAAAATACATGACAAAAATATTTACGTTGCAGGGACTTATAAAGCATTTAGCTCGTTACCTAATAAACATGCTGCTGTAAACAATAAACAGTGTGGACTATGGGCAGTTGGAATTTGTGCTTGGTCTATTGAGGTCAAGGACTTAAGTGTGCTGAACTACAGCTCCCATCATCCCTTGCCATTGGCCATGCTGCTTAGGGGTGATGGCAGTTGTAGTTCAGTAGCATCTGGAGGTTGCCCCCACCAGACTGAAACCAAGTGCATCACAAGTGCTAATACAGTGACTTAAGAAATGTGTGAAATGTTGCCAAAGGCTATGACTTAACACCTGGCTTTGACAAAGGGATCCCGGCCACTTAGATACACGTATGAAATTGACTTATCCTGAAGCAGATATCTAGCCCAGTAACTGGCTACTCTGACTGGTGACGGAGGCAGAGATCTTTCCTGGTTTTGCTACCTAAACTTCTCCTAAACTGAGGTGGCTGAGATTGAATCTTGTGGATTCCACAAATAGCAATGGGCTACTCTGGATTGAGCAGATGAGACCAATAGTGAGTCCAATAATCTTAAAAGTGGTTTCTGCACATGCTGTAGAGAGAAGTGAGGGGCAGATGGAGTTCATCAAGCTGGGAAGGCAGCCCTTGTAGGAGAAAGAAAACTCTGATCCTAAACTTCTGTTGTATTATGTGATATCTTTGGGAGAAGAAAAGGCTCAGGAGTAAACCCTACACAAATCTGGAGTGGAGTCCCTAAAACTGTTGGATGGCGCCTTGTACTGTTACATTTGGCAACTCCTGCAGCCAAACATATTGCTCTCCTTTCCTCTGTACCATACCAGCGAGGCTGAGAGAGGGGTCTTGTTGCCTGGGCAGCCCAGGGCCTCCATACACCCTGCCCAGGCTTGCACCCAAAGAAGATTACTTCAATGCTACTAATGTAGCAGTTTGACTTCAACCCCAAAAGCGTACTCCATTGTCTCTCAAGATAGACAGATGCCAACAACAACACCTCTGAATGGCCAACTTTTACATTAGCTCTGGTCTACTATTATTGCTTAGGATCAGAGTTTATAAGTTATTCCTACTGCACACTCAAACTCTGTGGTTACTAAGTTTTCAGTTTCACCCCAGGCCTGCTTCCAGCACCTTTACAACTGTCCGGCATCAGACCTTCTCTTATCCTTGTTTCATACTGTATTTTCTTTTGTTTTATAAAGAAAATTTTCTTGTTTTATCCATTACATGTGGACTCCACAACATTTTTGCTTCAGCCTCAGGCCTTTTGACTGCATTATTTACTTTGGTTTTTGGACACATTGCCATGAAAAGCTCCTGGGCTCAAAGTATTTGTAGTCCAGCATTTTCCTCCACTGTGGGGGTGTTAGGCAGATATGGGACAAAGCATTCTTTGAAGATGGGATGAGTCTTGGGTGTGGAGAATTTTAAGAAATTTAACTTCTTGCCTTTAAGTATGTGGTCAAGTGGTTTTTCTCCCTTTGTGTTTTCTGCCCACTCCCTTCCTTGCTATCACTTCATCAGTCTGGAACAGAATGCCCCTGGGGGGGCATTGGAGGGGGGATAACTATTTGCATATGCCAGTGGCTGTAGTTGTGAATAGTCAATTTCATTTGTTGTGAAAATGTCTGGGTTTAAATGTTATTACAACCATAAACTGAAAATATTGCCATGCTCTCCAGATATGTATAATAGATCTAAAGCAATCTATTTTGGGCATATATATTTTTATGAACCATCCTTCTGATTTTTAGAGATGACCAGATTTCCCAGTAATGCAAATTCAATTGTGACACATGAAAATGTCAACGTCACTCCTTTATTTTATGTGCTAAAGCCATTAGCAGTGGAGAACACTATGCCTGCTTCATCCAATTCCATCCCGTGGGTTGGATGTGATGGTAGACCTATTGAATTTAATATAATTAATTAGTTATTTAAGCCTGTTGATTTCAATGGGTGTACTCTGAGTATGACTTTGTCAGCTGCAACCTTCTGAGACTTCATCTTCTTTTGATTCTTCACTTCTTTTCCTTTTCCAAAATTAACCTGCAGGAATAGATTAACTTTGTATGTGTCACATCAAAATTGTGTCACAAGTAATTTGTTAAAGAGCACGGCTAAATGCTTTTAGGGACACTTTACTACATGCTTTAAGTTATATATCAATATGTGTTATATCAGAATTAGATGTAGCAGAAACCTTACCTGGGAAAAAAATATGCTGCAGTGGCTTCCCTAAGGACACCATTGGTCTTTGACGAGGAAGACAGATTTGGAAAACTCTCTTTAAGACTCAGAAAGAATGGCTATTTGAAATTAAATATACACACCCCATAGCTCTCTATTTCAACTTACATAAAAGCATATAGGCAGCTAATTTCCTTGGGGGAGTGGGTGTAGTCAAATGGCATCAATGAGATTTTGAAGGCCACTGAAGGTCTCCCATATAAGTTGCTGTAGCTATGTTCAGGGCTCCTGAAATAAGATGTGGGATATCATTGAATCAGCACCAAGGGTGCACCCAGCAGTAGACACATTTTAATCAACATATATGATGTGAGAAGAAACAAGTGAATTGAATGAACTGAAAAATTGTGTGAAAAATATACACACCCAGCATTCAGTGTTAAACTCAGAACCAAATGGAACAATTGAGATCTTCTGGCTAGGTATCTCACTTAGAATATCCTTGCTACTAGAAAAGAGAGATGAGCGGGATATTATATGTAAGCTCCATTGTCATAAGCAGGTACTATAAAATCAGCTCTTTAAAAAAGAAACAAGTGCGAAGCAGTGGGATACCAGTTTATTCTCTCATTTTTGTGGACAGAAAGCAAAGAACAACAAAGTAATATATTAAACAATGGTTGGTATGAAAAGCTCGTGTAGAAAGGGCTGTGTTAAAGTAGTGTTTCCTGCTGAGTCCTTAGCTTTTGCTAAAAAGCCACTAGCTAAATATTCCCGATTTTTCCCTACCAAGTACAAAACCAGTGACAAACTTGTGTACATGATTAACACAAAGGTGGATATCCTGTGGTCTTCCATATGCTTTTCAACTCCAACTCCCAACAGTTTTAACTATTGTGGCCAGTGGTGAGGGATTATGGGAATTATAGTCTAAAAGCATGCAGATGGCCAAAATTTGGATGGTGCCTGTCTACATAGAAGGGAGAGATAAGTCACATTAATTCCTGCACAAAAGTGCTTTCCATATATACTTTTGTAACTTGTAAAAGCCCCAAACTAAAATATGAAACTATTCTTAGTGATAAAAGAAACAACTTCATTTGTACTGAATGGGGTGAGATGGGCCTGGACATAAGCGAGAAACCATTTTCATTTTATTTTGTTTACCTCAAAGTTATTGAAACATAGAAATCACTGTGCCCTTGACTTCCACTTTCTCCAAAAGTTTCTCCATATATTTTCTTTGCTTTTTCTGAGCCAAAATCAAATGCTATGCTCTGTTTAATTAAGATTTTAGATCGAACCCTTTGGAGAAAAGATTGTTAAAATGTATTATTAATTACCCATTGTTATTACAGCATGCAAATCTGTTGTACCCCATAAATAACAAATGAAGCTTCCTAGAAATAAAACAAAGGGTTGATTAAAATGAACTGTAATTGTTCTAATTGCACATTTTGGCCAATTAGCAAATAAATGTAGACTGGAGAGTGGGATAACCAGTCATTACAAGCTTATTTTTCAATTGAGAAGTTAGTTGTAAGCGAAGTTATTTTTCGTATTTCAGTGCCATTGTTCATCAAAACATAGTGTAACAGGGAAATATCAAGGCATTATTTTCAAGATGTCTTTGCATTTATCAAAGTGAAATAAGACAGTGAGTGCTATGAGGTTTTTGGTTCTGCCTTGCCAGCTTGAGTCACTATTTACTCCCCTAGAATTGTGTTACCAGACATTCCCGTTTCCTGGGGACAGTCCCCAGATTTGAGAATAAGTCTCCGGAAAAATTCCATCCCTGGAATGTCCCCAGATTTCATCTAATGTCCCCGGGAAATGCAGCAGTGGCAGTCTCAGCAGCCCGGAGCAGTTGGCTCTGGCTGGCTTCAGGAGCTGCTCAGAAGTCCCCAGATGATGGTGGTGCAGGCTGCCTCCACCTTCCCTGACCCCAGCAACTAAGCTGTGAAGGGAGGCTTCACACTGCCTTTCGGAGCAGCTCCGTCCCAACTCCTACTTGTGTGCAAGCAGGAGGGGGCAGGGATCTCTCAGTTAGGCAATGGGAAGCCTTGCCTCCCAGCTGCGGGAAGTAGGAATGGGATTGGGGCTGCTCCAATGGGAAGGGAGGCATTGCGCTGCCTGAGCCTCACCGCTGCCACTCTTGGCCCTCCTTCTCTGCCTTCCATGCCTGACCCACTGCACACCGCTTCCCCACCACCACCGAAGAACCAACAACTCAGGGGCTGCCCAGGCTCATGGAGAAAGGAGATAGAAGCCTTGGAGAAAGGAGAAATGTGGCGGTTGAGGTCAAGGTGGCAGGCCGCCCTTCTGCCATCGCCATCTCTGTAGCATCAATGTCCCGAACGTTTGGTATTTATTTATATAAAGCGTCCCTGGATTCATAGAAAAAAATCTGGTAACCTTACAATAGACTGCCTTCAGCACCTCAGCAACTCTGTAACATATCTGTGGCGTAGCCACCTGGCCTTCTGCATCTACCTTTGTGAGACATTACAAGATTAATGGCTATGCATCTGCCGAAGCTTCTTTCAATAGGTGATTACTACAGCAGGTGGTTCCTCAGTAGGGGCAGGGTCTGTAGATGGTTCCACCCATCAGAGTAGGTTTGGTAAATCCCTTTGGAGGATCCCCTCCTCCCTGCAGGAAAATGTTACATTGGACTTCCTATGATGATCCATTTTCTGCAGGGGATGGAAGAGATTCTATTTCCCCATCTCGTCTACACACTAAACTGGCCTGAAATGTTCAGAAGTCCCTACTTTTGAGCTATGATTAGAGATGGGTGAATATTACAATTGTGGTTTCTCTTTGTTTCTCTGTTCCCCAGTTCTCCACATTTGTATCTCTCTCTCTCTCTCTCTCTGTGTGTGTGTGTGTGTTTAAAGAAAAGATTTCATGAAAATTCATCAGTGCAAATTTCTCCTAAGGTACACATGTCTGTATGCAATTTTGCCTAATATAGACAATTTGGAAAGCAATTTCCTCTAACATAACACATTTTTGCATATTATTAACACAATGATAATGCATTTGAATGCACATTTTACCCAGGTCTAGGCATTTTTGCACACATTACTTTGCATTGCAAAATTCAGAGAAATCCACATTTCAAAGGAGGTTTGCTTCAGTTCACATATTGTTTTGGAAAGTATGAATTAAGTAGGTTTGTTGGGAAAGCCTGTCCCCATTTGCCTGTGCAACAGGGTTCAGTAGTAGATGCTTATGGAAACCAAATTTCATTTCAATGAACTATCTGATAAATAGCCCTTCTCTTGAAGGTAGATAATCTCTGTAAATGTCTTTAGGAAGAAAACATGGACTTTCAGCACTATGATAGGGTGGAGGATACAAGGAACAGGAATGCATTTGATAACACATTTTTGAAGTCCGCAGCTTCTTGCACAACTTTTCATTTATATCTGCCAATGTGTTTTGACATTAACAACCTAATATGAACTTTTTACCTATGTCCCTCAAGTGGTTCAAGATATTTTTACTTGAACTGTTCACCAATCTTCTGGCCAATAGGAACATGGACCATTAGCTGCAAGCTTGAGCTTTTCTAAAAGCATGCCCTGCATATTTTTAACAAGAGGGTATTTTTGGACCCTGTGGTTCTCTAGAGGAATATGACCAGGATACAGAAGCTTTTAAGCCAGGTGAAACAGGATGTGAACTCTGAGAGCTTCCTGTAAAAAAACTCAGACTGACTACCCCTTAGAGTGCAGCTGTCTAGATAGGTTTACCGTTCTAATTTCAGTAACAGTTTGCACTAATGGTGCCTTGCATCTGTAATTAGGATCAGGTTTGTTGACCATCATTTTAAAGAAATCCTGTGGGAAGATGAGATTGAAATATCACAACAACTTCTCCTGTCCTCAGAAATGACGTCTCCTCTGCCTCTATAATTTTTGTGCTGTTCTGTTTGTATGCAATAGCTTCTATTTTTTATGGGGCAAATCATTAACAAATGATTGTCAGACTGTGAATCAGGATATAGAATTGTGATAATGGAATTGCTAATTTAATCAAAATCCTTGTTTTATGTAACTTCCATATTATTCATGGAGGCGAAAACCTGGATACTTAATTAATGACTCCAGCCCAGGTCTACTTGTAGCATCCAATAACTGTGGTGAAGAATTGGAATGTACACATCTGTTATTAAGGTGGGATCCAGAAATTCAGTGCAAATTTATTTATTTAGGAAGATTTTTATACTGCTTGATCATCAGAAACAATTTACATTAAACCTTTACGTAAAACAATTTAAAATATACAGTAAAAATACTCATAAAATCAAACCTTAAAAACAAGTTGACATAAAACTTATAAAAATGGAATAATCTGTTTTAAAAACAAATATAGTTAATAAAATTATTTGGTAAGATTGCATGTCTGGGGAGGCTTGCCTAAACAAAAAGTATGTTTTAACAGGCACTGAAAACAATGATGTTGGCATACTTCCAGTAGGAAATATGCAGGTACATCATCATTAAAGCATCTTTCTACATGTGGCTCTTCCTTGCTGGACTGGTGCAAATGTGTTTGCAAATTATTGGTTTCCATACAAAGCTGCAAAATGACAGGCTGGTCAGTTTCCAGGTATGTGTGAGCACAGATCAAGAAGGGAAGGTAGGCTTCTCATAAAATTGACACTGTACATTTCAACATTTGCCCTTCATGAGTTTTTGTTTCAGTTGCTTGATTCCAGCCAAAAATGTCTCCTTCAACTAAAATCCTTGGAATAAAACAGCAGAAAGAAAGAATAAATAAATAACACATTTAAAGAAAACTTCAACTGTTAGGTGGGGGAGACACGCACACCTCAAATAATATACAATGACTGAAGGTTCAAAATGGAATGAACCTTCTGAGAATCAACATTCTATCATGCCTAACAGAAGCTTTCCACATTATGAGATTTCCGAGGCAAATAAATGAAATATTTGAGGAAGTAGCCATGAAGTAAAAGAAGAACAAAACAAACCCTTGGAAAAGGTCAGGCATCCAATGTATGCTGAAGAATACAGATTGCAAAATCTGTCAAGAGCCTAGGACACAATCTAAATGAGAGATTAGAAGGAGCAATATAGGTGATAAAAGTCAGAGTGTATACCGAGGAAGATTTCTTGTATACAGGTGGAGAAAATGCGTAATAAAAAAGTAATCGAAAAGAGATGGATTGAGACACACAGAAGTGACGAGCCAATAAAAGGAAGGCTTTGCATTTACTAGTTATGAAAAAGTAACCTGAGTGGCTGGGATCATCAGAAATGGTGAGATTATGGCATAGTGAATCCCAATTTTTGCAATAGCATTCATTTATTAAGCACCCTCCCCACAATTCACTGCAGGGGAAAGAAAATAAATCCATACATGGATTTATTGTATGCAACCAAATAGTCCTGTTGGTTCAAGGACTTCTGTCTGTACAAGAGGACTTCCTCTTCCCAGATCTATTCTGTGGGTTCCCTCAACTGTCCTGAGTAGTTTGGGTGTGGGAAAGGGGAAGGGAAAGGAAATATTGTTGTACAGGTGGAAGTCTTTGCACTGAGAGGATAGCCTTATGGAATACAACCCACAATCTTAACTACCGGTATATTATGGACTCAAGTTGATAAGTATTTGGGAAGGTATCTATCAGTCTAAATACAGTGATACAATAACTATGCATAATAAAAAGTATAGTTGTATCACTACAGCATAATACCACACACACACACACACACACACACTTAATAGTTTATTTAACATAAATTGGAATTTAAGTGAGCATAAAGTGAAACAATATGTCAAGTAAAAAATATGTAATAACTTCAACATCCAAAAGTAGGCCCCAAATTGATAGCGTTTGTGCTGAGTACAATGTGTTCCATACTGGTGTCCCCCACTTAGGTGGGGTTTACGTTTTGGGTCCCTGCATGCATAAGTGAAATCACCTTAGGTGGGGAACACCCTCTAAAAAGCCTCCAAAAAGCCTGCTCTCCCTCTCTAGTCCAGACCAAAATATCTAGAGGCCAGCTAGAGGCTGAAGGACGCACAGGAAAGTGGCTGCTGCAATGGGTCCACCCCACACATCAGCGGTTAGGCAGGGAAGGCTGAGCAGCCTAAACAAAACTCCACTCAGCCTCAAGTGTCTTCAGGGCTTCCTCCACCTTCACTGACATCTTCTTCGGGCTCCAGGGAAGGCCTCCTCACAAGCCACAAGGACTCTTCAGCTTTCTCCTACCACTTCTCTCTGCCTGGTATGATCCTATTTATTTATTTGCTGGCACTGTGCATGGACAAGGTCACGTGTGCACTGAATGCGCATAAGTGGGGGATGGGTGCCTGTATTTTATGACTCAGATATCAGAGTTCTTCTGGAAGCAACTGCCTTTTGAAGGCTCTCAAGGCTAGATGATGGGGCAAGGCAGATGGAAACAATTGTCCTATGACGAGAAATACAACATCTCTTTTCCCTCAGTGTCAGGCGTGGTCAGCAGGTTTGGCCCCCATTGCAGTCCTGCTTCCCATAGTGCAACAGTGATGTTCACCATCTGTGAAAAAGCATAGCTGTGTACTTGATGTAGTGTTGCAAAGAACATTTACAGACTGGCTCTCACTGACAAGGAGTCCACATGTGTAGCAGATTATCCATTTCTCCACAGCAAGAGTACAGGGGCATATTGCCCTGCTTAGGAGGGCTTGCAGTTTTCAAGTCATCCTCTAGATACACCTATGGCACATGATGGGCAATTTTGCCTGCTTTTATGTCTTAAGCAAATTCCTCACATTGGGACATTTTGGTTCCTTGCTCATTACTCTATGTGGTGGGGGGGACTAAAGTTTGACATTACATTGCTTGTTAAGAGCTTCCTTTGCTTTTAACAGAACAATGGAGGCTGTCTTTGAAAGCCAGATTAAAAGAGACTCAAAAATAATTGCTGACTCAAAAATGCTATTCATTTCCCCATTTCTGGGAAAAGCATACTTAGCATTGATTTTTATACACACACACACACACACACACACACTTCCCTACAATTACTATGATAAAGAAACAGAACTGTATGCAACAATAGAAATGTGTGGCTTAAAAATAATTGTTTCCTCAGTGAGCAAAAATTTGGCCTTAAATGTTTTTGTTTTCTGGAAAAAACACCAGAGTTTTCTTTCTTTGCTCTTCATAGAATTGGGAAGAAGAAAACAAATTTATTAAACCTTTTCTTGCTTCCCAGGAGTTAACAGTTGGTTTTGGCACTCTTCTTATCCATTCTGCTTTGTGGTTCGAGGACCCGACCCCGGTGAAGTGAAATGAAGACACAAGGACACGTGATATAAGGTTAATGGGCTAGGAAAAGGCCACAACTTTATTGGTTACAGCATTTGAAAAGGTATTGGCTTAGGCATTGGATCAAAACAAGTGGGTTCTTCACCAGTAGGTGGAGCCTGTCGATGCCAATCCGACTATAGGCTCACCCCTGCTGTCACCGAGGGTCGTGCCAAGGCCTCCCGCCAAGCAGGCATCGGACGGAATACACGACCCCCAGATTCCTTTAACGGAATACCCCTAAAAATTGAAGGCATAGGCGATGGCCACACCTAGCACTTCCACACAGCGCAACACATTATTCCAATGCCTAACCTACCCACCAATACCACAAAAGTTGTGACGATTGCTACGAGGTAGGCGAAAAAACCAATTAGCCTAGTGCCAAATGGAAAAACTCCTACCAGGCCCCCCAGCCAACCAGGGCGACCAACCTAAGGTCCATAGCAAGGCCGAAAACCTGAGCCCTAACTAAAGGGAGTGGAGGGTGGGTGACTCGCGAGGGGCGAAGGAGGAAGAATGAGGCCGGGGGAAGGCTGGCGCTGCAGCAAAATGCTGCTGAACACGCCCCCACCGTGGCCCCCGGTTGGATGGCCACCGAGGGGGCGTGAGCGCCAGCCAGGTGAGTGGGCAGCAGGGGGCCACGCCTCGGAGCTCGAGCTCGAGCCCCTTTGTTGAACTCCCAGCACAAATCCTTCCTTTGGTCACTTCTAGTCGACCGATATGAGTCGACTGGCCTCTTTTCCACGTACGGACCGACCGCCACGGACCATATTCCATTCTCAATCTGATCCCAGCGTGCTAACGGGATCCTGGATGCCTTCCTTCTGAATTTCTTGTCATAGCTTATGGCCGCCGCCTCCCCCGCGAGGGCACAGGCCGTGCGAATATGTGAAAGGTAGGCAACAAGGTGAACCGCCCGCTTGGGGTAAGCAGCGACAATTGTCCCCATAAAGGCTTGAAAACCATCAAGCCAATTTTCGAATGTCCTAGGCACAGAAGGGTACTTGCTCTTTCTCTTACCATGCGAGGGCCTCTTTTCACCCCTACCTAACTCCTCTGCTGGGGGCACTAATTTAAACATGTCAACAAACTCACCATTTAAGATTTTTGCTCGCAGTTTAGGGGATAGGTGATCACCCGGTATAACATCTGAGGTTGAGTAGGTGGATGTGGTGGCATCTTTTACCAGAGCCCCATCCTTCCACTCCTGGGTCCCCCCAAACTTTTTACGATGGCAATTGGCCCTCCTCGACAGTGCCCAGTCCGGGAGTCCAGAGACTTCCTCGCCCTTCCCCCAATAGGAACCTAGGGACGCGTCACTGTCATACTCCGAAGAAGAAGTACCTGTTTCATCATCCGAGTCCTCCCTCCGAGACCTGCTCTTCCGACATACATGCTTCTTCTTTTCGCGCCTCTTACCCGAAGGCTTCTCCACTGGCGCTGCAGCGACGGTGCCCTCCTCCTCCTGTTGCACGTCTTCAGCCGCTGACGAAGCCGCAGAATCAGGCGACTGGGCTCTGGGCCGCTTGTCCTGCGAGCGATTGGAAGAACTAGGGACAGCAGGATTGTTATTGCGAGTAGACTTAGAAGTCGCTTTCCCCCCCCGCGCCCGAGACCCAGATGCCGAAGCCCGTGACTGAGACCTAGTCCGCACCGATTGTGTATCATTAAAGAGGGCGGCCGATGTACTTGGCAGTTCGTCCCATTGGGAAAATTGAGAACTCTCTGGGAACCCCTGGGTATCCGGGATGACATCAGGGGAAGAGGGGGGGTGGGGTTCGCGTCCGGGAAGCGCTGTTCGTATTCATCTATAAAAGATCTAAAAGCATTTATGAAGTGGGAGACGGGAGGCCTTGTATTATTACCCCTGCCCTGTCGTCCCCGTGATGCGTTCTCTGCTGAGCTACGTGTGGCCACAGGCGCGCGCTTCCTCTTAGGAGCCATAAGGTGTGCCTTGTACACTACAAATGCCACGGTATTTGTTGGTGTGTATGTGTGTATGTGTGTGTGTGAGTGTGTGTGTGTATTTATTAATTAATTAAAAAATTTTGTTTTTTGTTTTGTTTTGTTTTGTTTTGTTTTGTTTTATATGTATATAAATCTATATGTTGTTGTTATTATTAATATTGTGTATATATCAAGTTAAACAATTATTAACTTCTTCTTTTTTTTTATTTATTATGTATTATCTATATATCTGTTTATAGTTTTCTATTATTATTTATTAATTTCTTATTCGTTCTCTCTTACTATACAGACTCCTTAATATTTCCCAGAATGGTTGTGCTAAATAACCAAATCAAAAACAAGCCAATAAATTCTCAATTTATCCCAGCCTTGTGATTATTATTGCTAATAAAAGAAATTTATTCTATGAATTTGCCTATGCAACCAGCAGGCAGTGACTCAATGGGCTGGTGACCAACGTATTGTCACTAGGCAGTAACTCAGGTATATAACTCCCCCTTTTGTGTTAGCCAGGTGAGGGCAGCAGCTAGGAGAAAAGCCGCTCCCACTAAACTCCAATTAATAAAGCCAAGACTGCTGCCCAGGTTCACTTCCAACGACAGTAAGAACAATAGAACAAAAGAACAAAAGAACAATAGCTTAGCAGTCTACTGCCTGCCAGGTACTATAGCCTTGTTATTAATATTGTTAATAGAACAAATATCCTTACTAATTTGTCTGTGCTACCAGTACGCAGTGGCACAGTGAAATGGTAAGCACTATAAAGTCACCAGGCAGTCAATCAGGATATAACCTTCCTTGTGTGTTAGCCAGGTGAGGGCAGCAGCCAGGAGATGAGCCGCTCCCAGTAAATTTAAGTAATATAGCCAAGGTACAATCGATGGCTCCCTGCCGCTGCTACGCTTCACCTCCTCAGACAAAAGAACAATAGCCCAGCAATCCTTAGCCTGCCTCAGGTAAGATAAGCTGACAAAAGCTCCCTGACAATGTGCCTCTGGGGAACAATAGGCTTAATTATCGCTCATCAACCTTTAAATTGTCCTGCTGGCCGGCCACAACAATGGCGTTACTATGGCAGCGTTTCTATAGCAACCCCTAAACAGGCCCCAGGCAGACCAGGCAAGAAGGAAACACCTTAAAAAACGAAGGAGGGAGGGGGGGGGATTCCCAGGCAGACCAGGAAAGAAGCGAACACTTTTAAACAACGAAGGAGGGATGGGGGAAAAAGGGGTCAGAGCGCACAGAAGGATTGAAATTTAAAGACGTTGGAGACCCAGTAACACAGAAACTTTTTCCCTTTTAAACCAAGCACAAAGAATCACCACAAGAGAAAAGAAGGGGAAGTAATAATACTCTCAGAGTTGGCTAGCCCGTGTAAAGCACCATCCCTTCTGCTTCAGCTGCTTTGGGCAAAAATAGGAAATAACCCTCACCCACCACGTTGCTGGACTACAAAGGAGGGTAACAAGTAACAACAACAGACGGCCAGCCTAGAGGAGGGGGGGGGCTGAAGCGGAGCTTCCAACATCCAGGAAAAACCTATACCAGAGGGTTTGAGCAAAAAGCAGCGAATAATTCTAACCCCCCTAGCAGGATTCGAAGCCAAACGCAATTTAGGCAGCAAACTGGGGGGTTTTTGGAGCGGAGGCAGGCAGAACAAAACAAGACAACGTGCGCCCTGCAGCTGATGAGTGGCACACACACAACGCCGACAAATGCACACTCCCAGACCACTTGAGCTCAGTTCCAGAAACGCGCTACAGCCGAGAATGGGGCAAACAGTGAGGCATAACCAAGAAGACACACGCACACACACACGGCCGCGGCCGCAAGTAGCGCACAGCCTTGCAAAAGGAATTCGAACGAAAGGGGGGGGAAGCCGCCAGGCACGCACACACTGCTCTGAATGGCCGTATGCCCGGTGATGCTACGTTCTAGTAACCCCCACAAAGCGGCCGCGGCACACGTGGAGCTACCGCACACCGGCGGTCACCTCCACGAAGCAAAACACCCAGGGCACCCTTCTAACGATTGTGCCCGAAAGATTCTCCTCCCAAAAGCTCCCCAAGCCGCTAAGAGAAGCAGTGCTCAGCCGCGAGGTTTGGGAGCGGGAGTACGTGAAAGGAATGGAGCGTGCGCTCCAGCTGATGGGCGGCCGTGAACTGCCCGGCCAAGGGCACCTAAACCTATCTAAAACCGTACCACGGATCTAAGTTAACCAAAGACGAACCCCCAGCCCCCCAATAGCAAGCAAAACACGAACCGGCTGGGCAGTAGCAAGCGGAAATCAGGATGCGCCCGTCAGCTGTTAGGCGGCTGAGAGCAGCGGCCAAGCAGTAGAGAACACTTGGGCTGTAGCCCGAAGCAGCGCTAAAGGAGTAGGGAAGTACAAGGTTGTACTAAGCGATAATTAAGAACACGTAGGAAGTAAAGTGAGTTAAGACGACAGGACAGTAGCGCAAAACTTCCCTCAGTGAACGTCCGCTTCGGAACTGGCTCCACGTGGTCGCTCCTCACCGGGAGAGAGAACAGCCTATCCTGCTGACTCGCGAGGGGCGAAGGAGGAAGAATGAGGCCGGGGGAAGGCTGGCGCTGCAGCAAAATGCTGCTGAACACGCCCCCACCGTGGCCCCCGGTTGGATGGCCACCGAGGGGGCGTGAGCGCCAGCCAGGTGAGTGGGCAGCAGGGGGCCACGCCCCCTGCTAGCCGGAGCTCGAGCCCCGACCACAACCCCTCCCCTCCCCTTCGGGGAGGAGAGTCTTTCTAACATAATACATGCTGCCTCTTCCTGATATAACTTTTATCTCTGGCCACAAGAGGGTCTGCTGTTTTGACCACGCATTGGATCAGTCACTGTTCAGCTCATGAAAGCCTCCCAAATCAGACCCTAATAGTCCACAACAATCATTTTTTGAGCCCATATACTGAACTCCACTGCTGCAGTCTATATGGCAGCCTATTACAATTGTGGTACATAATGTGAAAGAGATCCCAACAAATGGTATAAGTACTTGGCAGAGCAAGTAAAAAAGAAGACACTCCAGAAGGGCCTCTTACAAAATGAGCATCTGTGCTGGCTGGGTGAAAATACACCCCACGTTTGATATTTTGAAGGGAATATTCTAGACTATCAGGAAGGGGTCCAAAGAGAGTTCAGTCCCCATCCCCCCCCTCAAATATCTACAGGTCTATACAAATACACAGAGAGATCTTGCAAAATGTGAAGGTTTTAGTTTTCTTGCACAGTCTTAAAAGGCCTTTTTTAAAATAAAAAAAGAAAGGATGTATAAAATTATTGGTAATATGTTACTTGCAGAATGATAGCTACCTCTTGGAAATAATATATTCTAGGAATAATTAAAAATGGAGTAATAAAAAGTGTATGAAGGAGATATATAAGCTGACATAGTAAAAACAAAACAGATCCTTTGAAGAGAAACACACACACACACTGCAAGTGAAACCTAGAGTATGGAACTGTTCTGCGGTTTTGAGGTTGCTTGAGTGGTGTTCTAGGGATCAAGAATCCTAACATTCACACACACACACCCCAAGCTGCATCCAGTGCCAGCTCTCTGATGAGTAAGTGCAAGGTACACGTTTTCAAACACTTATTTGTTACATTCACACTTTATATTTTTTGGCATGCACTTAGATGAACTGATAAAAAAGTGATGAGGCCTAAATATGATAAAAAGTACAGGCAACAAGAAAACCCAGTTAAATCTTGTGACGTTCAAGTGGCACCCTCTACCTATTGCTACAATTTTCAGAATGGCTGGAACAATTATATCCTCATTTTTTTGAAATTATGGTAAACCAACCATTCTTTGTATAATGTGCAAGGATCGAAATTTCAGTCTAAAAAGAATCTGTAATTTGAGACAGCCCTCTAAAACCTGCTGCTGCTGCAGACTATTCCCACTGAGACAGTGTCAGGTTGCCACTAACTGAACAAACCGTTCGGTATTTAAGGACATTTAAAATGCAAGTCCACAACAATGTATGTAAAAATGACTCCATGATCTGGGAAAAATTCTTTGTTATCTTGCTTTATGGGAACATACACCATTTGCAGATATGGGAAGTATGAAGCATATGAAGCACATATCTGATTCCTAGATATCAGGCTGGTTCACACATGCTGAGGACAGAACCAGGTACCGACTTGTAAGTGCAAATGAGATGTCATAGACCAACACAGAGAACAACATCAAGTTGGTGTTCCTAGTACCATAATTCCAACAGGAGGTGCTCACTAATGGTGGTGCAGGAGGAAGGGGAGATCTTTGCCCATTCCCTTGTACCCCCAGCAACAACCAGTGCTCCTCAAAATCTGTTATAGTGGGAACCCAACATTGTAAGGCTTAGCTTCTTGACTTCTTTCCTGAATGGCCACAAAACGGTATATTCAACAGTGTCTCTCTCTCCACTGTGGAGTGGAAGATATTAAGGATTTAAATTTTTTAGGTTTCTCCTCCTCCTTCCATGTTGACCTACTGCTCTGGACAGAGGAAACTACATCCAGCAATCTCAGTACTATAGGAAATAATCCTTCCAAG